ATGAGAATTGGTGGAAAAATCCGAAACCATTTTATTTTTTAAACCAAAACAATAGACAAATAAAAAAATTAATAGAAAGATTTGACCCACTGTATTAAATGGATGTATGCAATTCTCTTTTATTATCACACAATTATTTATTTGTAAATAATAAAAAATTGAAACGTCAAAAGTATACATGTTCGTTTACAAGAGTATGCATATTTATGTGCCGCAATAAGTAGGGTGTGCGAATTTTTTCTCTCAATTTAAACTACTTTGGAATTATAAATAAATGTAAAGGAAATTTGTAGGTGTTATTTGGTAAATTTGTTTTGTCATAATTTTAGTTAAAATTGTAAAACAAATTAATTGCTATGTAATTTTGTTGTAAGACCAACAAATCGGTAGAGCGTAATGCGAGTGCGAGTTTTGTTTTCCAAAATTACTTTGAAAAGTAGGAGGAGGAACTTGAGTGTTTACATGTATACTGCAAGGTATTTGGGTGTTTTATGAACACTTTTAACCATAGGGAAATATGTTGTCTGGAGATTATTACAATGTGTTTCACTAAATGGTAAATTGAAAAAGTCCAGAGGCAATATCAAAAAAATTAAATCTTATAATTTGGTAAATATTTTTGTAGTTTTGTGCCATTTTGTATGTAATCCTCCCAGTTTGTTAGACATATATTTTGTTTATTTGTTTTAAATTAAAAAATAACAGGCAGACAAAATAATACATTTTAAATATGCATATATATATATATATATATATATTTACCTAGATTGAGAAAATGATGACCAACAAGATACATACCAAATGTTAGCAAATTCTTTTCAAAAGGTAATCTTGTATGAAACAAACTAGTCACGACTCAGACCTCATGAACAAATTAACTACAACATTTGGTCTATTGTTTGTATCCGTTCCTTTGGTATTGTTGTCTCAATATGAAATAAGGTTTTAACAACAACAACAAGGCGAACAACAGTAATGATAAATATAATATGTTTTAGAAACCAGACATAATGGATGGCGGAATTAGTTAGCTTTCAGTATCATTTTTGGTAAATAAATGAAGGTGTACCTAAAGACTCCTAGTCAGGGAGGTTTATGCTCGAAGGTAATATTTTAAATGTTAAATTGAAAAAAAAAAATGTAATAAAAGTTAAATAAGAATTGTTAAGAGCCCTTGGTCGCCAAATTCGTCAATACGAAGTGAGTTCTTAAAGTCCTTTAACTTTAACATAAAACATATTTTGCATTCAGTTCTACACCTACATATATCCATATAATGTCCCCAAAAAATGGTCAAAATTTCGCTGAAAATTTATTTCATAATATCATGCGAACATCCAACCATTGCACAACCTATCATATTAGATTGGGGAAAGAGAAATCCATTAGGTTGATAAAATCGGATAAATGTTTAAAGTTGACCGGCATGTTAGCAGTCGTAACATCGCCCAGAAGCTAAAAATCGACCATAATACTGTTTTAAACCATTTACACAAAGCTGGATTCAAAAAGAAGCTCGATGTTTGGGCGCCACACCAATTAACAGAAAAAATACGATTGGATCGAATTTCCATCTGCGAATCCTTGGCCAAACGGAATGAGATAGACCCATTTCTTAAACGAATAGTGACTGGAGATGAGAAATGGATCACATACGATAACCCTGTGCGAAAACGATCGTGGTCAAAGAGCGGAGAAGTACCTCAAACGGTGGCCAAACCAGAACGGCCAGGAAGGTTCTGCTATGCATTTGGTGGGACAATTAACAGAAAAAATAGGATGGATCGAATTTCCATCTGCGAATCCTTGGCCAAACGGAATAAGATAGACCCATTTCTTAAACGAATAGTGACTGGAGATGAGAAATGGATCACATACGATAACCCTGTGCGAAAACGATCGTGGTCAAAGAGCGGAGAAGTACCTCAAACGGTGGCCAAACCAGAACGGCCAGGAAGGTTCTGCTATGCATTTGGTGGGACTGGAAGGGGATTATTTATTATGAGTTGCTTCCATATGGCCAAACGCTAAATACTGATCTCTACTGCCATACAACTGGACCGTTTGAAGATAGCAATTGACCAGAAAAAGGCTAGAATTGGCCAACAGGAAAGGTTTCTTATTCCACCAGTACAACGCTAGGCCAAACACATCTACAGTGACTCGTCAGAATCTTCGGGAGCTTGGTTGGGAAGTTTTAATGCATCCGCCATACGGTCCGGACTTGGCACCAAGCGATTATCATCTATTTCTTGCATTGCAAAATTTCTTTAATGATAAAAATTTGTATCTAGGGAGGATTGTGAAAATCCACTACTAGAGTTTTTTATACCCTTCACCACACTGTGGTACATGGTATTATGTCTCTGTGCATATGTTTGTAACAGGCAAAAATAATCGAGATAGACCCATGGTTCCTTTTGAGAATATGCATAGAATCACTTTCTGCATGTCCGTCCGTCCGTCTGTCCATGTTAAATTGTAAACAAAGTGCAGGTCGCATTTATTATCTGAATTGGATGAAATTTGGCACAGCTCATTTATTTGGGCCTATTGAAATTGGGAAAAATCGGTTCAGATTTAGATATAGCTCCCATATATATTTTTGTCCGATTTTAGACAATTGGTGCACCAAAGTCCCTGGAAATCTTTTCATTTGCACGAATTTTGGAATAGCGTAATGAATAAGGTCTAGAATGATGTCTACCAAGAATCGTGAAAATCGATTTAGATTTAGATATATCTCCCATATATAGCTTCGCCCGATTTTAGGTAAATAGTCCACTAAAGTCCCTGGAAATCTTTTGATTTGCACGAAATTTGGCACAGCGTAATGAATAAGGTCTAGAATGATGTCTGCCAAGTTTCGTGAAAATCGTGAATTTAGATATAGCTCCCATATATATCTTCGTCCGATTTAAGGTAAATTGTGTACCAAAGTCCCTACATATCTTTCGATTTGCAGGAAATTTGGAACAGCGTACTGAATGTCGCCTATAATTATGTGTGCTAAGTTTCATGAAAATCGGTTCAGATTTAGATATAGCTCCCATATATAGTTTCGCCCGATTTTATGCAATTGGTGCACCAAAGTCCCTGGAAATCTTTTCATTTGCACGAATTTTGGCATAGCGTACTGAATTAAGTCTAGAATGATTTGTGCTAAGTTTCGTAAAAATCGGTTCAGATTTAGATATAGCTCACATACATATTTTCGTCCGATTTTATGTAATTAGTGCACCAACGTCTCTGAAAATCATTCGACTTGCACGAAATTTGTCATATTGTACTGAATTATGTCTAGAATGATGTGTGCTAAGTTTCGTGAAAATCGCTACAGATTTAGATATAGCTCCCATATATATTTTCGTCCGATTTTATGTAATTAGTGCACCAAAGTCCCTATATATTATTCCATTTGCACGAATTTTGATATAGGGTACTGCATTAAGTCTAGAATGATGTTGCTAAAAGATCCATAGCTAGGCCGATTGACACAACGTACTGATGTAGTATAAATTAGTCTCTGGCAAGTTTCCCTGAAATCGGTTCAGATATAGATATAACAAAAACGCGTATTCTGTTAGGATACATATATAGAATATTCCTAAAGAGGTGAAGGGTATTATATAGTCGGCCCAGTCCGAATTTACTACTTTCCTTACTGGTTTTCAAATAGAGAGCTGGACTTCTATGAGAGAGATATTATGAAAAAAATGGCAACAAAACGTACAACAAAACGGTGTATATTTGGCCCAAATCCGACATTCCAAATAATGTTAAATGAAGTCCTAAAGTTCAATAAAAATAATGTATTTCTCTTTACCAATCTAATATTTACCAAAACTAGATCAAGTCCGAAGATGGATTGATCTACTCTTTTTTTACCTCTCCCAAAAATGTCAAAATTTTGAAAATTTGTTCATCCAATATCAAGCGAATGGAATGTCCGATTTAATTCAACACATGTACATCGTTATATTTCTTTCAAACTCAAATCAAGTTCGAAAATGGAAACGTTAGATTCACTCTTTCTGGTACCTCCCCCACAAAATGGTGAAAATTGTGCTGAAAATTTATTTTATAATATAATGCGAATCCAATTCAAAGCAAACTATGCTCAACGTAATATTTTAATTATGCCTGTATATTGTTGGGAGATGGGATTTATCGGTCCCTTCCCTGTATTAGCCTTCTATCAACATTTGTAAATTGTATATGAAGTGATCGGAATATCATCTAAACTTTGCACATGGTAATATTTGTACCTAGCCCAGATCGAATCCGAAGACGGGGCCCATCCGTCCACTCCATATTGCAAGATATATTTCCTGGCGATTACTTAATTTTACTACCTCACATATAACAATCATATTTATAATTGTTATCTATTGGACATAGGCTAAATATTTGTTACTCAAACTAAAATAATTGGAAATAAAATTAATGCGTTAAAATTACTCGAACTAATCTGCTTCATCCATTTTAATATTTGACCCGGGGAGCTGCAGCATGCTACTACATTTAAATGTAGATGTCTTCAATCATTTAACACTAATAGTTAACTCATATTGTGTTTCCAATCATGTATGTATATGTTTCCAATACCATTACAGCTAAATCTGTCATATCAGTCAGTTGTAAACTCATGTCCAAACTAATTTTATATACACATTAATTATTTGATTAATGCCAACAGCATCTCAGCTCAGCGATCAGGTAGCATTTCAAATTTATTTTCCAACCATTTATGTCGTAGATATTTTTTAACATCAAAAAATTAACTCATTAACCTTTCGATATTTAATGTTTGAACATCAATTGACAGCTATGATTTTTGTTTTTTTTTTCTTCAAATGAATTAACGATCGAGAGTGGTTTTGCTGCCAAAACAAAAGAAAAAATCATAGCACAATTTAAGCTTATACGTCCAACAATCTATCCCACAGAATATAATCTTCTGCTTTGTTGGTGTCTGTTGTGCCTGTCTGTCTACTCACCTCTTGACTTTGTTCCAGTAGCTGTGAACTATGTGGCCGTATGGTTACCGGGTAATTTCTCAATTGATGTCGTGGCTGATGTTGATGCTGCTGCTGTTCCTGTTGTTGCTCCTCATCGCTTTGTAGCTGTTGTTGCTGCTGTTGTGACTGTGGTCGTATTAAAAATTGTCTACCATCTGTACCATAAATGGTCTCTTGTGGATCTTCTGGATCATCGGAATGTGTACTGGAACGACCATTGCTGCTGCCGCTGCCAGTTCCATCCGTTCGGTGATTTGCATAGACGTTGTTGCCATCTTTTGTGTCTTTTGTTTGTCTCTTATCTTTGGTAGCGTCATTTGATGTTGATTCTTTGGCAACAGTTGCTGTTGCAGCAACGGCTGCTGTTGTGTCATCGGTAATTTGTTTTGTTGACGTTATTTTACTGGCTTTATTTGGTGTTTCTATAGTGTGGACATTTAATATGCCTGCGGAAAAAGAGAGAGAGTGAGAAAATACAAAAATGTAATTTGGTAAATTGGGAGATTTATCCGTTGTGTGACAAAGAAGTAAATTATTTATTGGTTATTATTATTGGTCGAAATCCTATTTAATTGGATGATAACTTATTTGAACACTTGAATGAGTAAATCGTGTAATTGACGATAATATTCAAATACCAGTAAGCAAAGCATTAATGTGTGACAAATTCGATTGTGTTGCAGTCAATTTTTTAGATAACTCCTTAGAATTTAATTAAAACATTTTCTAAAATTGTCAATATATAAAACTACTACGTGTGTATTGTACCTTCGAAGTAAATCCCATTCTAGGAAAAAGCAAGGTATATATTTAATGGATACTTCATATAAATGACGTTTTGATACGGTAAGAATTAGTATTGAAATACGAACTTAAAAGCACATATGAAACTTGACGTAGCCCCTATATAATGGTCCCCGCTCGGCAAAAAATAATCATGTTTTTTGTTCTTAGTTTTTGTTATGTCAGCCAATCTGTTGACATTAAGAGTTTTGAAATTTTGCACATTGTTGTTATTCGTATTGAAAATGGGATATATCTGTCCATTTATAAAGTAGTCTATTATAAAACTTTATTCCCCAATGATGGTTTGGCCACGGTTTTTAACCTAATTTTGCTTATCTCTGGGTATAATTTTTTTCTCCTAAAAATTATCAATATCTTTACCCTGTTAGGCGTATTCCTCATATAACACTCTATACCAAATTTCGGTATTTTGTGGAGTTTGGGCACCTGAATTTGGGCAAATAAATTAGCTGTTACTATATATTTTGATGATCATTGATTAGGAAATCCACATAACAAAAGTTATAAATATATCAAGTTTTCGGAGGCCCCCACGTAATGTTACGCCCAATAGTCTGTTTGGGTACGTTTTTCAACCGAATTGGCTTAATATATACATATATATATGGGCAATATTGCCAATTTTTTAACATAGCTGAAGCGGAGGTTCACCCCTTTATAACTCGGGAATTACTTAAGTATATGAAAAAAAGTAAATAGTATTGGGTTAATTGATCTGTCGTTGCAAACTGTTCATGATTTTGACCTCCAAACTTTATTTTGGTGGAAGCTGTGTCTACTTTAATGTAAAAAAAATGTGTAAAAACACGTTGAGGCGAACCAGTTTTTTATGTTCTCTATCGATTTGTGACTAAGCCACTCATTGCACGGTCTTCGTGTCAAAATAAAACTAGAAGCCAACAAAATGGGGACTACGCCCCTTCTGTATCATTTTTCAAAATTTTCACTGCATCTACCTTTAAATAATGCTGACATTTTGAAGCTCGATTTTGAGTGTTTTTTGAATTTTACTTCTAGCTTTAATACGCAAACAGGTATTTATAAAAATCGATTATAAGATTATTGTAGTCGCGAATCTGCGTAATTTGATATGTATTCAGAGTAATACTCATCCGAAGGTGCGAATTTTGTGCGATCAAATTTCTAAAAAACCTATTTTTGGGGCCAAATTTTTAGATCTGTCAAGTGAATGATATGGGTACCCGCGATCAATAAGGTTTTTTACGTTTCGGATGATATAAAATCTTCTTCGTGAAAATCCATCTACTAGAACGGCGGGAACTGGCCTTCCAAAAACACGAAATTTGGCAAAAAATGTTTTTGAAAATATCGCGGATTTATTTGTGTTTTCTGTGTATCATTTCCGCTTCAATAAATGACCTCATACGGATTTTGATCTTTTTCGAAAAGAGAACTTTAAAAACTTCAGCCGAAAGAGAGATGTACGCAATTTATCTCAAAAATAGATTTTGCTGGCACATCCATGGTTCTTAATGGACCACATTGAAATGGTATAGATCGATGTATTTTTTTAGGGTGCACACCGAAATCGGATGCGCGTTAATGGCATATGGAGTTTTCGGAAATTATTCGCGTTTTACGATTTTTTGGGTACTTCAATGTAACGTGCGGCACATCTTAGCCGTCAAATGAAATTTCGCAAAATATATATGGATTGGAAGGTAAACTTCAGTACTTCCTGGAAACCGCATGCGCATCAAATGATTTTGAGAATTACGCGATTTACACGCAATTTAAAATGTATATTTCATAATATTATTTTATTTTAAGATTTATTCCTATTTATAGAATTCTAAGATTTATCGGAAGGGTCTTGATATAATCCGCAAGGCGTATACTTATACACAAAAAGTGATTATTATTATATATGTCAATTTTTCGGCGAAATTCGGGTAAAAAAGCAGAATAATCCCAAAAATTTTTTTCAGAAATTTCTTGTATACAATTAAAAAAACCAGTGAGCGGAGCAGTATAGTCGGACGTGGCTGACCATACGATACCCTACACAACTTCCATGAAAATCTAACTTTGTGTGGTTCTATATTCTGAGATTGGGCAATATTTCGCGATATTTGCACACTTTTGACAGGCTAGAGGTCAGCAAATGTTACTAATAATCAGTACAGACCCTCTAATTACTTCTCCAGATTTCCTTCACAGTGGGTTGTGTTGTAATGTTCGGCTTTCGACTCGAAAAGTACAAATAATTCAGTTTTCGGTCCACTTCATCCGAAAAATTATTATCTGATTATCACCTAACATTTTAGGCGTTGTCCTTGACCATAACTGGAACCTCATGGAACATTTCAAAGCGATCAGCGCTATATTTCCGCCCTCCAGTGTGGTAATATGTTACTAAATAATATATGAATACGTAAGCACCTGTAAATATTTAAGTGTAACTCCCGCATCCGAGTACCTACGACAATATAATTGGTATCAATTTGAAGGTCGACCGCTCCCCTTGTCGGGTCTATGTCCTTCAGTGGTAAATATATACGCAATAGAATTCAAATTTTGTCATTTTTCACACAAATGTTCGGGTCCATTTCACCCGCTAAATATTGACCGACTTTATCAAAACAGGCATCTCCATGCAAAAATTCGCGGTGTTTGGGCCATAATTGCGACCTCTGGAGCGACCAGAAAAACCGACAAAAATAAAGTTTTTGGTCCATTTCATCCCCTAAATATTAAACGATCTTTTCCAAAAACAATAGGGGTTTTCATTGGCCAGAAACCATCCTACATGCAAAATTTCGTGAAGATTGGTCCATAACTGTGGCCTGTATCGTGTTTACAAATTAAATTGGACAGACGGACGGACGGACGGACGGACACACATGTCTAGATCGACTCAGCTAGTCGAGATATGACGATCGGTATACTTAAAGGTGGGTGTAGGACCAATATTTCGCGGCGTTACAAACATTTGGGGCTGCACAAAGCTATAATACCCTGACAACATAGTTGTGTAGGGTATAATAAATATTATGACATTATTTTTTTGAACCAAAACCAAATATTTTTCCTCAATATCTTGTTTTGTTGTCGCTGAGATTTGGAAACCGCTACACGGACTTGTGTGATTTTGATATCATTTGATTCATCATGGTGTTTAGATTATGTAGATATTTTTAAATTAATTTTTAGGTGTGTGTATGTCACTAATATAATGAAAATATTGATGTAATCTGCTATATGTTTTTATTTTTCTCATATTTCGCGAATATGTGCAACTTTATCGTGATTATTATAATATATTCATATTCTTATTTTACGGAGGAAAATATATATCAACGTTTTTGGTCAATATAATAAACGGCGTAATTTTAAGATTTTTTTCTTATGCCCATAATTAAAATCTCGATAACTTTTGCGCGCATCAACCAAAAATTTGATCGCGAACGGTTTCGGAGTCAGAACATTTTTCTCTATATGTGTACCAAAAATCATTGATGTGCCACAAAAATAAAAAAGCTGATTTTTTGAAAATGGAATATTAAAAAATTGCCAATATTGCCCATATATATGCCCAATAATCTGTTTGGGTACGTTTTCTAACCGAATTGGCTCTAATTTGATTTTTTTGGGTTATCATAAGGTTATCGTAAGGTGGTTAAAAATGTCCTTGTACAAATTTTCCGTTTAATTTTCGGTTTATGTTTCTATACCAGTTTTTATACCCGACACTCGGGTATTTGGAACATAATTTTTTTTTGATAATGAACAGTCTACACCGCATAATGCAATAACATAGTCCTATATAAATCCCGGCCGATTTTACGAATTTCGAATGCACACCACGTCATGGAGGGTATGCAAAGTTCGACCCGGAACTTAACGACGTTATTACTTGTTAGATATTAAACTATTTCGGCCCGATTTAAATTGAAGATAGAATGCATTCATAATAATTTTACGATCTTTTGTTTTTCCAGAAAATAGTGTGACGTCACGCTTGTGTGTATAAATCATGTTTTTTATATATTTTTATACCCTACACAACTATGTTGTCAGGGTATTATAACTTTGTGGAGCCCAAGAGTTTGTAACGTCGCGAAATATTGGTCCTAGACCCACCTTTAAGTATACAGATCGTCATATCTCGACTAGCTGAGTCGATCTAGACATGTGTGTCCATCCGTCTGTCCGTTATAATTTGTAAACACGATACAGGCCACAGTTATGGAACAATCTTCACGAAATTTTGCATGTTGGATGGGTTCTGGCCAATGAAGACCCCTATTGTTTCTGGTAAAGATCGGTTAATATTTAGGGGGGCGAAATGGACCAAAAACTTTATTTTTGTCTGATTTTCTGGTCGCTACAGAGGCCGCAATTATGGCCCAAACATATCGAATTTTTACATGGAGAAGGGGATTGGGCCAAAGAATAACCATGCCTGTTTTGATAAAGATTGGCCAATATTAAGCGGGTCAAATGGACCCTGACTTTTGTGTGAAAAATTGCAAAATGTGTATTCTATAGCGTATATATTTACCCCTGAATGACATAGACCCAAGAAGTTGAAAATATATCCAAGAGGAGTGGTTGGCCTTCAAATTGTCGTATGTACTCAGATGTGGGAGTTACACTTAAATATTTACAGGTGCTTAGGTATTCGAATATTATTTAGTAACCCATTACCACCCTAGAGGGCAAAAATATAGCGCTGATCGCTTTGAAATTTGCTATGAGGATCCAGGTAAGGTCAAGGACAACGCCTGTAGTTTTCGGTGATGACCAGATAATAATATTGGGATAAAGTGGACCGAAAACTTATTTTTTTGGGTTTCTTTGAGTCGACCTATAGGCCACAATTGAAATCCGAACATAACAACAAGAGAGTGCAAATGTTGCCCAAGATCAGAATATAGAACCACACAAAGTTAGATTTTCGTGGAAGTTGTGTAGGGTATCATATGGTCGGCCCCGTCCGATTATACTGCTCCGCTCACTGGTTTATAATATATTTAAAAAAGTATACAATAATATAAGAAACTTAACCCTACCATCAATGGGAAGGTGTGGAGGATTTACGGGGTAATTTTTTATGAGACTTAATACCTATACCGAAATTTGTTATAAATTCTAACTTTTTCATGCATATTTATTTTTTAAGAATGTTTGAAAATTTAAAAATTCAAATTTTCTTATTTACTCGATATTAATCATATTTTTCGATACGCATTGAAATATATATTTTTTATAGCCTTCACCACAATGTGGTACAGGCGAAAGGAAACGAGATAGACCCATGGTTCCTTTTGAGAATATGCATAGAATAACATTCTGAGTCGATTTATGCATTTCCATGTTAAATTGTAAACAAAGTACAGGTCGCATTTATTACCGAATTGGATGAAATTTGGCAAAGCTCATTTATTGTGTTTTTTTTAATATTGTGCAGACGTTGCATTCATAAATATTTCGGACGGGTGTCTGATTGAAATTAAATTTTGAACAGTGCGACATACCGAATAGCGTGTACCAAGTGTGTTATAAACGTAAAACGTTACGTAAATTTGTCCCATTGTACGCATACGACTCGAAAATCTGCCCGAATGAAATGAAATTTAGGATAAGATGCAGAATGGCATGCTTATGGATTGATGTTAGTCCTTTCACATATAAATACAAATCTCATATTTAAATATTTTAATATTTATTAAATATACCCAAAGTGATGAAGGGTATCATATAGTCGGTCCAGTCCGACTTTACTACTTTCCTTACTGGTTTGATTATATTTTTTGTCCGGAGACATGATATTACTACGACTACTCATGATGATAGAAAGAGCGGTTAAGGCTTTAAATGTAATGATGGGATGTTTATATAAAAGATATACCCAACAAGTGGACCAATAACGATCGTTTTTCTAAGGAGATTCTGCAATCCATCTGACTCCATAAAAAATAAATTGTAGGAAATTTGTATGGGAAAAATGAAATGGCGAAAATAATATGCAGTGATAATGTGTACACTCAAACTGACATTAAAGTAATGAAAAAACTCAGGGTAAATAAGTTGGTCGAATCGAAAATTAAAAAAACATATTCGAATTCACATTATCGAGAGTTCACTGTATGTTTTTTTTTAAATGAAGCACAAATTATAATATTTGAGAAATTGATGGATTGCTGAAGGTGTGCAAGATTCTGTGTACTCCACCTCATCGTATATAAATTATGAGACTAAAACTGAGATGTATTGCATCATTATTTGATGTAGTCCTCATATATTGGTTTTTATGTTATAGAGTATTTTGAGGGTGAAGAACCTAGAATGATGAAATACAGGTACTGGACCATTATATGGGGTAAAGGTATGGGGTAAATACAGCCACATCGTTTGAAAAATGTGAAAGGATCATCAAAAGACCTAGAATGGGGAAGGAGTTTTTTATGTGCGCTATGTTAAAACATGGACCCAAATTGGTCATATTCTATCCAGAATGTGAAATTACAGTCCTTTCGATTGGAACTGGCTACAACTCTCAAAATACAAAAAGGCGAAATAATCGTTATATGGGGACTATATCTATACAATATAAGATTTAACAAAGAATAACACATTTATATACATTTATATATAATATAGCCGATTTATTGTGTCAGCATCAAATGACGGCTGAAGGGCTTCTCAAACATTAAACGCGTTTTTCTCTATACATTTTTTTGCGAATGGCGGGCACGATATTAATAATCCAATCGGTTCCAAATTTTGCAACGTTTCTATAGCTCATGAACTGGATAAAGTCAATCGGTGAAGATTATTTTTTAATTTTTTTGGTAAAAAAAATGATTTTCCAAAAATATTTTTCAAAGGTCCACCATTTTGTTAATTTTAGAGCGAAGTCAATAATCCTAGTTCATACAAGAGCCAGACATGTACTCTTTCTAACACCGTTGGAATTTTCGGATTCCGATGTTCTAGTGAGGAGTTTTCATGCCCGCCATCAATAATAAGGACTTTTTTCTTTAATTACAAAAAACAACAACAAAACAATAACAAAAATTTGTTGTAAATTATTTTGCTTCTCTTTTAAATCTTCAATTATATATGTGCAAAGTTACATATATTGGTTTTTACCAGCCCATTGAAAATCTTGAAAAATTAAAATCGATTTTGAGTAATAACACATTTAATATACTTAGTATACAAATGTACGGAATAATTATTTAGAGGACCTATATCGACAATTTATTCAAACGAATTTTATAGCTCAATGGGTTATCAATTTTGCGAACAAAATTGATAAACATTTATGGTAAATATTTTAAGTTAATCCTAATGTACAATTTTTTCCAAATTTCCGAGCAAGAATCGAGTAAAAGTGAAAATGAACGATGAAAACATACGAATATCGATCACTATTTGATATAGTAATCATATATTGGTTTTTACGTTATGGAGTATTTTGAGTATGTTTCCAAAGACTTGGCTATAATTTTGTAATTTTCACACAATTCTCATTAGGTCGAATAATTTCTTGGGGTAAATCACAAACAAATATTTGCAAAATTATTCCCGTTATATGTGTATAGGGTATGATCCACTTTAAAAAAATCAGGCACAGAGTTCAATACGCAAACTTTTAACCCATTTCACTATCCCTAATAATACTATAAAATTTTAATTAATAATAATACAAGTTTTTATAATTTCACACTCTATTCATAAAATGTTAACGCAATCGACAATTACAACAATTTCATTCATGTATTAACTTAATGTTAAATTTACAAAACGATTACACATAGTCTAAACATCCACACATTGTAAGGTTTTTTTTTAACTATTTCTGGTCCACTGCCATCACTTACCACACACAAAACAAATTAAAATTAATATTTTCATTTTGTTAATTTTATTGTCACCCCAAACTTAGTTGTTGGTGTTGTTGGTTATTGTTGGCGTGCAATTGTCGGAAGACTAGTTTTGCGACACTTCGCTGGCGTTGCGTCAATGTTTCGTTTTTCCGCTTTTCTTCCTTTAGTGGAATATTTTGATTTTGGAAATTTCACATAACATTGTTTCGGGATGTTTCGTTTCGTTTAGCTTAGTTTTGCTTTATATTCTCATGCACGTCGTTTCAAGTTTTTCGTTTTGAGTTTGTCTTATAAAATCATACTTTTAATCCTGGCAAAGTATGTTTTATATTCGATTCCACGTTACGATGTTTAAATTTAACGGAAATCTTTACTTGGATTCGCGACGAAAATATTCACCATTCATTTGGCAGAGATGCACAGAGAGAGAGACACAAGTTGCTGGTAACACGTTCGAATATCGACTCGTTTCAATTGTTTCACGACACTGGCATTTATAAATGTTGTGAACCTTTAAGACCCAAAAGCAAAACACAACAAAAATGAAAGAAACAATAAACACGAACATTTTCCAGCAGCAATCATCTGCAAGACAATGCTTCGCTCAAAAGTAAAACATCTTGACAAAACAGTGCCACCAAATCGTCGCATACTAATAGTGGTGTTGGTGCCGCTGCTGCAGTCGCCGCGTATAAGATGATTATTATGCTGAGACCTTTTTGTCTTATATTGTGTCTTTCGTTGAACCAAACAACTAAACACCAAAGCGACCAACAGTGAGAATAACAGTTTGCTGTGACTTCATTGCCAACTGCAAAACTAATCCAAAATTCTGCACAATGGCTTGGAGATTTTCTCTCTCCCGATCTAAGCCAAATAGAAATTTTTTTTATAATCGCAATGTTGAAAAAAAAAACCAGTAAGGAAAGTAGTAAAGTCGGACGGGGCCGACTATATGATACCCTTCACCACTATGGGTATATTAAACAGGACTATTAGCATGAAATTGGATGAAATAAAATATGTGATATTTATCTAAATGGGAATCTACGTAGATCTATCTATAAAGTATGTAAATCGACTTCAAACAAATATAAATAGGCCATCCGTTGGGCTATGTCTGTACTTCTAGAAAACGCAACTACATAATTCTATGCTCAATTTTGTACGTTGTGCAAAATTTGATGTCAAACTGACTAACATGAGGAGTTTGATGCCCAATTTACTTAAAATCGGGCGAAAATATATATGGAAGCTCTATCCAAATATCAAGCAATTTCAAACAAACTTGTCACAGGATAGGCTATACTAATTTCAGAACGTTTTTTTCCTATTGGTTCCTTGGTGCGTCAATTACTTCCAATCAATCTATAATAAAAGGGAGCTATATCTAAATCTGGACCGATTTTCACGAAACAACGCAGACATCACTCTAGGTTCAATTCAGTACGTTATGCCAAATTTTATGCAAATCGAAAGATATATAGGGACTTTGGTGCACCATATACATGAAATCGGACGAAACTATATGTGGGAGCTATATAGAAATCTGGTGCACCATTTACATGAAATCGGACGAAACTATATATGGGAGCTATTTCTAAATCAGGACCGATTTTCATGAAACTTGGCAGACATCATTCTAGACTCAATAAAGCACGTTATGCCAAATTTCGTGCAAATCGAAGGATATATAAGGACTTCGGTGCAACATTTACATGAAATCGGACGAAACTATATATGGGAGCTGTATGTAAATCTTGAACTATTTTCACGAAACTTGGCAGACATCATTCTAGACTCAATTCGTACGTTATGCCAAATTTCGTGCAAATCGCAAGATATATGTGGTGCACCATTTACATGAAATCGAAGGAACTATATATGGGACCTATATCTAAATCTGTACCGATTTTTACGAAACTTGGCAGATATCATTCTAGACTCAATTCAGTACGTTATGCCAAATTTCGTGCAAATCGAAAGATATATAGGGTCTTTGGGGCACCATTTACATGAAATCGGACGAAACTATATATGGGAGCTATATCTAAATCTGGACCGATTTTCACGAAACTTGGCAGACATCATTCTAGACCTAAATGATTAGGCTGTACCAAATTACGTGCAAATCAAAAGATATATAGGGACTTTGGGGCACCATTTACATGAAATCGGACGAAACTATATATGGGAGCTATATCTAAAACACGACCGATTTTCATGAAACTTGGCAGACATCATTCTGGGCTCAATTAAGTACGTTATGCCAAATTTCGTGCAAATCGAAAGATATATAGGGATTTTGGGGCATCATTTACATGAAATCGGACGAAACTATATATGGGAGCTATATCTAAATCTGGACTGATTTTCACGAAACTTGGCAGACATCATTCTAGACCTAAATGATTAGGCTGTACCATATTACGTGCAAATCAAAAGATATATAGGGACTTTGGTGCACCATTTACATGTAATCGGACGAACTATATATGGGAGCTATATCTAAATCTGGACCGATTTTCTCGAAAGTTGGCAGACATCACTCTTGGCTTAATTCAGTACGTTATGCCAAATTTCGTGCAAATCAAAAGATATATAGGGACTTTGGGGCACCATTTACATGAAATCGGACGAAACTATATATGGGAGCTATATCTAAATCTGGACCGATTTTCACGAAACTTGGTAGACATCATTAAAGGCCTAAATGATTAGCCTGTACCAAATTTCGTGCAAATCGAAAGATATATTGGGACCGTTTACATTAAATCGGTTAAATATATATATATGGGAGCTATATCTAAATCTGAACCGATTTTTCCCAATTTCAATAGGGTTCGTCCTTGGGCCGAATAAGTGACCTATGACAAATTTCATCCAATTCGGATCATAAATGCGACCTGTACTTTGTTTACAATTTAACATGGACAGACAGACAGACGACGGACATGCATAAATCGACTTAGAAAGTGATTCTATGCATATTCTCAAAAGGAACCATGGGTCTATCTCGATTATTTGTGCCTGTTACAAACATATGCACAAAGACATAATACCCTGTACCACAGTGTGGTGAAGGGTAAAAATATAATAATAATATTGAAGCCGAGGTTCGTCGGTTTATAATTCGTCAATCATTATTGGTTGTCATCTTTTAAAAATACATACATACCTAATTTTACACAGCAAATAAAAAATTATGAATATTATCATAATTTCATTCATAGTAAATTTTCTCCATATTGTACGCGTACCTCACTTAGAATAAAAGTAAACATTCTAATAATCATGAGAAAGCCACAATTTTTTTCCTAATTCGCTCTATTCTACCCCTATTTAGGCTTATTTTTCCTCTCTCTTTCTCTCTTTTTTTTGTGACAAAAACAAAAAAAAACACCTGTTTCTGTTGCTAACAACTGTCGTCATTCCACTCACACGAGTGTGACTAGTTTAGCATTCTTTATTGTTTTTATTGTTTCTTTATTTCAGACACTTTTACCGAACTCCGGTGTTACAAAATTCCCATATGTTTTTTCCAAATGATTTCGATATAAATGCTAAATGGCATATATCAAACAAGGGTTGATTGTATATAATTGTTCAAATGACGCAGAACCTAATCGTGCCAGTAAATAAAAAAGTGACAATACAATAACAAAGAAGAAGAAACAAAAATCAAAAATTAAACAAACACAATCCCAAGTTTTTTTATTCTCTCTGGCAAGAAGCCAATATTTAAATTTTATGAATTCCATTCATAAAATGCAGAAATTGGAAAATCGGCTAGAAAATTCAACATACCTAAATTATATCAAAATATGGACGTACCCTCCAAGAACGTGGAATGTCGAATTACAGACCTTTCGGTTGGGTGATCATCCTAAGACCACAAAAATGCCTAATATTAAATGGGGTACAAGCACACCGTTTTGAAAATGCGCATAAATCCAATATTGTATCCTCAAAGAAAATTCGAAATTACAGTCCCTTCGGCTGCAACTGGCCAAAATACCAGGCGAATGGAAAGTCCGATTTGAAGCAAACTGTGCACAACCTATCGAAATTACAGTCCCTTCGGCTGCAACTGGCCAAAATACCAAATCATGCGAATGGAAAGTCCGATTTGAAGCAAACTGTGTACAACCTATTATCTTTACCAAGACTAGATCTACAGGGTGAGATGAAAAAACTACAACTAACTTCAGACTGCTGTCATTTCTAAGCCATCTGTCCGACACTTATTCCAGTGACAGCTCATTATATTGTTTACAAGCGTACAAAAGCATTTTGGTGAGAGTTACAGCATTAAAATCTGTATAAATATTTTGTGTCTCGTACCATCGCTCGTTACCGTGATACTGGTAGCGTAGCCCGACATCAAGGAAGTGGACCGAAGAAAACAACAACATCAGCAGAAATAGGTCGAAACCAGCGTCGCAGTGGCCGAAAAATGGCTCGCAATATTCTATTCGGCAATTAATGGAAAATGAGCTCGGGGTAAGCCATTGAAATTCCAATAAGTGAAAGAACTTACTCCTCAACAGAAAGAAAATAGACTCAAAAGAGCTAAAAAGTTGCTTCGCTTGGCCGAAAGTGGTGAACTGTCGAATTTGATTTTCTTCGATTGAGAAAACATTCGTTGTCCAGCAGTTTGTAAACAAACAAAATGATCGTGTTTACTTGCCAAAGAGATCAGCTGAAAATGTGCACCTTCGGTTGGCCACCAGAACTCAAGGGCCGGCCATGGTGATGGTGTGGGCCGCCATAACAGCCGATGGTCGCTCTCCGCTCGTATTAATCGACCGTGGAATCAGAATAAATGCCGAATATTATCGCGAAAATATTCTTGAGGTTGTATTAAAGCCTTGGGCACTTAAACATTTTGGCCGCAGTCCTTGGACATTCCAACAGGACTCAGCACGCGCCACCCAAAAATGGTTACAAGAATGGTTCATTTCCAGTGCACAATGACCACCAAAATCTCCGGATACCAATCCGTTGGACTAATGTTTGAAGTATTTTTGAAATTTAAAAAAAAAATGTAAAAATTATGGCGTT